CGAACAAAATCAAATTACACATGTAAATGACGAATCTCGAGAGGAAATGGATGCTCAAGTCAGCACTGAAACCGATAATAAAAATTAACTATCTTACTTGGAAGTGTCATCCCCAACTTGCTCTACTTCTACAGAAACTATACCAATAGAATTAACGAAACCAAAACCAGTGCAAATTAAAAAGAAGAAAAAAATGATCAAATGGACAAATCCACTTCAGAAACTACTAATATTGAGTCGTTATTACAACCAGTCAAACAATTTATCCAGGATGCATCACCACCATATGTACTAAATTACACCCAATTACTAGCATTTTTAGAAGACGATCACGGTTCTTCCACCCCAGTAGAACTGATATTAGAATACACATACACAGGATATACACGGGTTGGGACATATGCTAACTGAAATATATCCCATGTTGAACGAAAGAGCAATTAAATCTAGAATTACAAGAATCAAGAAAAAACCACTTAGTAAAATAAACCAAGATTTTAGTATTCAGGATGACACTTCTGAAGATATTAACGCATCACAGGAAAATACTCCTTCCAACGATAAATAAAATAAAAAAAAAAACAAAAAGTTAACAAAACGGCTATTATTCAGTGGAACATTTAATCCGTATTTACACATATAGAAATGCTTCTTCTTCTTCTTCTCGTGCCACTCCTAGCGGAGATTGGAAATCATCATGGCCACTGCGACTTTGTTAGCAGCGCGCCTAAAAAGTTCAATCGAACTACACACGAACCATTCACGTAGATTACGAAACCACGATATTTTTCTTCTTCCCACACTTCTTTTGCCCTTAATTTTGCCCTGCATGATGTTTCTTAAAAGTTCGTACTTTTCACCTCTCACAATGTGCCCCAAGTATTCCATCTTCTTCTTCTTCTCTAGTTTTTATCTCATTTAGAATTTCGCATCTTTTGTCTAAAGTTTGGAGTACTTGCGTGTTAGTGACGCGGTCCATCCATGATATTCTGAGAATGCGCCTATAGCACCACATCTCGAAGGCTTCGATGTTTTTTATGGTCAACTGTTTTAGTGTCCAAGCCTCAACTCCATATAACAGGGTAGAAAAGACATAACACCGCAGCATTCGTATTCGTAACTTTATATTGATATCACGATTGCAAAAGAGTTTGCGCATTCTATTAAAGACTGATCTAGCGATTTCTATTCTACATCTAATCTCTTTTGTTTGATCAGTATCGTCTGTGATCCAAGCACCCAGATATTTATAACAGGGCACACGCTCAATCGTTGTATTGTCTATTACAAGATTAACTCTGATGTTCTTTGATTTCGTGATTACCATAAATTTAGATTTTTTCAAATTAATTTTCAAGCCGTAACTGTTACAGTATATATTGAGACTTTGAACGAGATGTTGTAGTTCTACTAGCGTTCCCGTTAGGAGAACTGTATCGTCAGCATACCTTATATTGTTGATCGTCTCACCATTTATTATCAGACCAAGATCTTCTTCCTCGAGTGCTTGTTCACAGATAGCTTCACTATACAGATTAAATAAAAGTGGCGATAAGATACATCCCTGCCGGACTCCTCGACGGATTTGAATTTCTTCTGTTAGTCTGCCCTCAACCTTGACATTTGCTGTTTGATTCCAATATAGATTGCATATAATTCGAATATCTCGGCTGTCTATATTTTTTTTTATTAGAACTTGTCTTAGTGGTTCATGTTGTACTTTGTCAAAGGCCTTTTCGAAATCAATAAAGCAGGCGTAAATTTCTTGGTTCATGTCTAAGCATCTCTGTGAGAGAACGTTCATTGCAAACAGAGCCTCCCTTGTACCCAGCCCTTTTCTGAATCCCATCTGAGTGTTACTGATGTCTACGTCTAATTTCCTATAGATCCTATTATGGATTATTTTTAAGAACAGTTTTAGAGCATGACTCATCAAAGCTATCGTACGATATTCGTTGCATTCCTTTGTATTTGCCTTTTTTTGGCAGTAGTATAAAGGTCGAACGGAGCCATTCCCTGGGTATTATTCCAGTTCTATATATTGTGTAAAATAGATCTAGGAGTATTTTAATAGATTCATCGTCCGTAAGTTTGAGCAGTTCTATGGAAATTTCATCAGGACCGGGGCCTTACCACTTTTTGCTTGTGTGATTGCATATTCTATTTCTTCTCTGATTATATCAGGCCCTGTATCATCTGTATATTCGTTTGAGATTTCTTGTCTATCTTTGTCATCAAACAGTTTTGATATGTATTCTGTCCATCGGTTCATTTTTTGTTGTAAATCTGTTATAATTATATCATCTGTATCTTTGATCTGTCCTGTCTGTGTTGTTCTTCTCCTTCCTGTCATTTCTTTAATCTTTTTGTGTACATTAAAAAAGTCATATTTTCGCTCCAATTGTTCCAACTCCTGGCATTGCTCACTTAGCCATCTTTCTCTAGCTTCTCTTATTTTCTTTTTTATCAGTTTATCTGTTTCTTTGTATCTTATCAGATTATTTGTTTTGTGTACCCTTCTTTCATGCATCAACTGAAGTATTTCCTCATTCATCCATTCTTTATGTTTCCTTTCTTTCGGTGTTAAATTTTCTTTCCCTGCCAACATTACGGCATGTTTAATATTCTCCCATTTTTGGTCTATGTTATCAGTATTTCTATTCTACAGCTAATGCTAATGCTACAGATTTTAATTAAAGAAACCCATCCACAAGTTATCTGCTTACAAGAGACAAATTTCACAACAAATAAAAAATACTCATTAAAACAATATGAAGCCTACCATAAAATTAGAACAAACGCTGGTAAAAAAAGAGGTTAAAAAAATTAAGGTAAAATAAAATCTTCAACACAATATTCTAAATGCAATGTAAGTATATAATTATTCCATCAGATACCGAAATCACTGCCAAATATCTCAAAATGTTAATTGAACAAATTCCAAAACCCAGAAAAATAGTAGGAGACTTTAATGCACATAGTACAACATGGGGATGTCTATCTACAGATAAAAGGGGTGATACTATCGAAAGATTTTTAAGCTTAACTGACTTTGTCTTGCTTAACTCAGGAGAAAAACTCGCTTTAACTCAATTACTGGTAAACATTCCGCTCTCGATCTCTCTATATGCCAAAGCTCTCTAGATCCAAATTTAAACTGGGAAGTACTACATCATAATTATGATAGAGATCACTGGCCTATATCATAAAAAACTACCTATCAGGCAAAAATACTGAAATATCCTTTCAAGAAAAGTGGAAAATCAATAATGCAGATTGGGAAAGTTATCAAAATTTTATCAAAAACTCTATACCCCACTTATACCATTGGAAACTGATATTGATTTCATCGTTGAAAAATTCACTACAATAATTATAAAAGCAACAGAAGAAACAATAGGTAAAACAAGCAGACCAAAACGTAAACAGACTGTCCCATGGTGGAATGCTGAATGTCAAGATGCACTGAAACTTAGTAAACATACCTTCAACGTATTAAAAAACGCCATACAGAAGAGAAATTAGTTAAAAAGCAGTTCGTCCTTGTTTAGTGTCAATTTTATGTTTAATTTTATGTTTATGATATTCTGCGCTTGTTGGATAGCCCAAAATTGAAGAAATGACCCTGAATTTGCTTTAGGAAACGAAAGTAGGTACTTGGGCAAGATTTAATTATTAAAATTGTGCTCGATATCTGCCTTTAATTTTATCAAAGTTCATTTATTCGAGCATTCAACCTTATATCAATGAAACATCAGTTCCAGCTACCTAAGGAGTACTCCATATATTCCGCCGAATTGTATTCCATATCTAAAGCCCTACAACATATATCAAACCAGGCCAAATTGGAAGCAGTCATTTTCATAGATCCTTTAAGGAATATTAAAGGTTTACCCAAACCATCCAATACTATGCCAAATTAAAATTGATCTAGAAGAACTTTACAGTAAAAATGAAAGGGTAAAATTTGTTTGGATTCCATCTCATGTAGACATAATAGGTAATAAAAAAGCTGATTGGAAAGCTAAAGAATCCTGCTATACGAATAGACCAGATAAAGAGCTCCTAGAAATTCCTCATTCCGACATTCAAACCACCACCAAAGAATTTTCAATGAGAATATGATTCGAAAGATGAAAAAACTTTACGACAACAAATTACAACGGATCAACCCAAATTTGTCACCAAAAGGGAAAATGCCACAAAAACGACGAGAACAAGTAATACAACACTGCTTGGGAATAGGACATACCTACCAGGTTAACCCACCAGTACCTAATGAAAAAAGAACAACAAAAACTGTGCTTTGTTTGTGATATTCCTCGGACAATCGAACACATTATTGTTAGTTGCCCATTCTATCACCTGGAACGACTTCAAAGTGATTTACCAAGTGATCTGAAAAGTGCTCTGAACTATAGTAAATGTGATAAAGCGACTAAGTTTCTAAAACTAAGTAAATTTTACAATCTAATATAAAAATAGACTTATGTTCTCAATGGTAATTAGTTATTATAAGCAAACATCTGATTTTATGTCCAACTCTTCCTGGCCAATAACCTTTCATGGTTGACGCAGTTTACTTAATAAAAATAAAGAAGTTGTTAAAACAAAACTGCTAGTCTGGTGGTGCAGAGAATGGTAATCTATAAACCAGATAGAGAGGAAGACCTAGACAAAGTTACCTAGAGTTATAAAGTTGAACAAATTTTAAGTGCTCTAGCTTCTATTATGCAGCTTATATTACTAAACAATATAATTATGTTCATTGAAATTTCATTTTATTTGCTCTGTAGACACGTAATATCCTAGTTTAAAAGAGATGTGAATATTCAAAAGAAATAATATTTATATTTTCTTCCCGCGAAATCCTTATGCCTTTCAGCGACAAATATATTATTAACATCATTAATCTATATTCGACTACGATAAATTATCAATACTTATTATATTAAAAATTAAAACGTATTGTTTTTTTTTCTGTGTAAAAATAATTACTTACCTATGTATTATTTTCAGATAGAAGAGATATCATTTTATTTACCTGCTGAATATCGTTCCAGGATCTCAGTTAGCGTTGACACATGTAAACAATTAATCCACTAACTGAAAACAACAAATAATTGTGTTAAAATACCATACAATAAACTAGCCAACAACTAAGATGGACACGACAGCACAAATAAAATTGAGGCGTTACCGCCCCACCACTCCTAAAAGCACAGTTTCGCCCCCACTGATTCCGTTTAAGTAATGTCGAACTCTTAGTAGAGCCTGACTGATCTCTCTCCAACGACTGTTTTGTGCGAATGTACAAAAGTCCACAAGTTGAGTAGTTACGTTTCAGATAGTGTATGATAAGGGCGATATGACAACCAAGTCAGATTATCAGCGAACATACGGTAAGTCCTGATAAAATTTTATACACATAGATTATTTTATAGTTTGTTGTGTTCAAGTTTAGTTTAACGTTATCTTTTTCGAATGTCTGCTTGCATTTTTCTACCGGTATTTTTATTGTTTCGCGTTAGTGATAACTTCCTGATATCTTTTTGACATTCCCCCTTTTATGATTATGCCTCTAGTATTATTTTATAAAACACGATAAATGTCTAGTTATTATACGACTACTGCGGCATTAACTACACAAATTTTAATTTTTTCGTTTTAATATCAGCTTTTTAGTTTCGTTGAATGCAGCGGCTTGTTCTACTGAAAACCATACAAGCATTAATATTTTTTCTATATAGTTAGTGACTAGTTTGTGGTGCGTTAATAGTTTAAAGCATATTTTACTAGTGATATTTCAAACTCACATTTTTATTTAAGAAACAAACTTTGGATCATTTGATATTTGATTAAAAATCGCAAGGACTTAATATATTATTGAAAAATACTTTCCTCCCATATACCTATAGACATCTACCCTTCATATAAAATATCTAAGATTTTAGAATTTATGAACATATTTGTACTATTTAAAACATATTGAAAGTATATCAATTTATGTATCTTATTATCGATAATAAGCATAGCCTTCCCTTCGTGTTGATCAGTTCTAAGTCGTTGTGCTAATTCATTTGTTGTCTTTTTCTTTCCCGTTTGTATTAATGAGACTTCAAATATATCTCCTACCCCATCACACACTTTTCAGCTTATTTTGTGTTCTATAAACAACAGTTTATTTTATTTTTATATATTTTATATTGCTTAAAAAATTGTTAACTTCTACCTATTTCTCGTATAATTATATGCAGCATGTAGTTCCATTATTCTTTTGTGTTTTTGAGTTTAATTTTATTTGGTAACGGTCTGATAACCATACGTGAGCAAACACTGTTCAAATACATTGTCACAAATATCTTAGAAGCTAGTTGATAGTGGTTATTTAAAATATAGTTTAGCTTAATATTTTTTAATTCTTGATGTTATGTTGTCAATAGTGTACTAATTTGTATTAATGTACTTTGTTCCGACTCTTTTTTCCTGTCATATCTCTGTGAGTTTGTGTAATATTTATTTGATTTATTATCATAGCTCACCTGTTCATTATGCGATCATTACTTCACTATTCTAACTGGATATGTTTCATGTTATGTGTAATTTTCTTGGTTTTGTACTCAGCTTAATTTTTCTGACTGATCCCCAAATTTTACTGCTGATCTTCTCCAAGAATGCAATTCCGTCGCTCCTGTTTTTACGTTTTTACTTTCTAGTGGACCTACTTTATTGTTTATATAACTATATTCTTCTATGTCGTTACTTCATTATAACATAGTATCTGTTATTTTTAATAGGATTCTACATTTTTTCTTCTTCAGCCTTTTCTATTCTTCATTCAGTCTTTTTTGTATTTTTCCAAAGAAATATGAATATAGAAATAGTTTAAAGGAAAATTCTGTATTTTTCTACCAAAATGAGATCTCTATTAAGTAGTAATACTTTTTAAAAACTTGACGTAAGTAAAACATTTTAAACTTTAAATTAGTTATTTGTATCACTATTCTATTGTAACATAGCTCTGAAGATGGCTTTGTAGGCCGAAAGCGCTCAGCTAGGACATACATATTTACACACTTCAAAAACACTTTTCTTTTCCATTCTTTGATTTTACATTTGTGCCACAAAACATGTTCTAAACAAGTATTGCCTTCTTCTTCCTCTTTATAAGCAATTCTGCTTGTTCATTGGCGGATTAATACCTGTATGAAAGGTTGTCACTCCATCTTTTTCGTGTCGTCCGAAACTTCTTCTGCCAATTGGTGACTTATCTCTAATCTGGTGGTTATTCCATTTTGTGTTCATTCAGGTATAAACTGTATGTTACATTTTCTTCTGATGCCTTCACTTCTCTCTCGATCTCTCAGTTTATTTCTGTAATTCTTCTCAGTTCTCCCATCTCTACCGTTTCCAGTAGCCTTTGCGTTGTGGCTGTGTCGGATCTTGTTTCTGAGGCATATCTCATTATTGGTCTTACACTGGCTTTATAAATTCTTGACTTCATCTCAGTGTTAATGTGTATGTTTCGCCATATAGTGTTATTAAGGCATCCTGCCAGTCTATTTGCTTTTTATACTTGATCTTTAACTTCTTTGTCCAGGTCTCCATAGTTTGACAGTGTAATTCCTAGGTATTTTATTTCCATTACTTGTTCAATACTGATGCCATCAATTTCTATTTTATATCTGGTTGGTTCTTTGCTGACTAGTACTGTTTTAGTTTTCTGAGATGAGATTGTCATATTAAATTCTTAATGTTAAATCTGTGGATCAGTCTTTGCAGACTTTCTTCATCTTGGGCTATCAATAATGCGTCGTCTGCGTAACAGAGTATTTTTATTCTTGTTTCCCATTCTGTATCCTCTTCCTTTGTTAACGCTTTTGACGATTTCATCAATGATCAAATTGAAGAACATGGGGCTCAATGAATCCCCTTGTCTTATTTCGCTGGCTATTTCTATAGGTTCTGTAAGTTGTCCATCTATTCTGACTTTCTCTTGTCTGACAGTCTCTAATATTCTTCGTTTTATGTATTACTATTTTTCTATGTCTGGATCTAGCTGGTCCCTTATGATAGTTCCAAAATATGTAATTTTGTGAACTTTTTTAACTTGGCTCCATTTAATTGAAGCTCTGCATCAGAGTGTGAGTTAAAGACTAATTTGGTTTACTTCGTGAATACAATCAAGCAGAATTTGGAGACCTTCGATATTTTCTGACAGAATTAGTGTTCTTAATTACATTAAGTAATTCTTCGTTGATTTTGATTCCATATCAAGTGTTTTTTTTAATAGCTGGTCCGTGTTGGAGACAAAATGCAACCTTGTCTGATTCCTTGTTGTATGGAGATTTCGTCGGTGTAATTTCTCAAATTTTTACGATAGCAGTTTGATTCCAGTACAGATTTTTAATGACACGAATATCTTCATCATCTGTTCCTATATTTTTTAGCATCTGCAATAATTTTACATGCAGTACTCTATCAAATGCCTTTTCGAACTCAACGAAGCATGCAAATACATCCTTTCTTTGATCACGGCACTTTTGTAATAGGATATTTAGCGCAAAAAGTGCCTCCGTAGTTCCCATAGAATTTTTAAAATCAAATTTGGTATCTTCGGGATCTTCGTCGCCCTTGAGTCTAATTCTGTTGTGGAGTAATCTTTGGAAACTCTTAATGATATGGCTCGTTGCCCAATTAATCGATATTCTGAGCATTTTCTAGACATTGTGTTTTTTAGATATTGTAAAAAAGGTGGACTTAAGCCAGTCTGGGGAAATTATCCCAGTGTTATAATATATAATATATGTATATAACGTTAAAAAGTTTTAAATATTTATATGTATAACGAATATATTCTACAATAATTAATAGCTTGTTCTATCGCTACATCTCGATACTGAGTCATAGTGATTTATATTGTTCAGTACAGATACTTAATGCTCGAAATATTTAAAGGGCATTTTGCTAAACATTATGTCTAGTTTTACAAGCGTCAGCATGTTGTCTCAATTAAGATAATGCGAATAATGATGACTAGACCTGACAAAACTGCAACGCGGCATAAACTGGCTTTTGTTGTAATTGACAAAATGGCCACTGTAACAAGAACGTGATTCAAATATTTATCGACAATAACTACTATAAATAATAAGTATACATTACAAACATCAGTGTTTTCTGTCGACATTACTTTTAAAGTATTCAAAATTATTTAATGTACTATTAAAAAACAGTAATTTAATTCCGTGATATTAAATCAATGCTTAGGATTAAATTCAGTATCTACTTATTCATCATTGTTTTTATATCCATACGGTAACTGCTTCCTTATTATATTTATCTCTAAGCTACTATCATGAATCTTCTTCTTGATGGCCCTATCCCTGCCGCATGTTGGTGATCATCATGGTAATGGTAATTTTTATCTTGTCTGCAGCAGCCCGGAATAGCTGCACAGATATTGTCTTGAAGCAGGTTCTGAGATTCTTTAACCAGGATGTTCTTTTTCTTCCTTTGCTTCACTTTCCAAATATTGTTTCTTGCCGAATGGCTTGTAGGAGGACATATCTAAATTCATTTTGAATATGTGTTTTAAGTATTGTTACTTTTGAGATCTGACGGTGGTCAATTCCTCTTGGTTCTTCTTCGTGCTTCTGAGGACCTCCTCATTTGTGATTCGATTAGTCCAAGGGAGCTTAAGTATTCTCCGACGTAGCGACGTCGCAAATGCTTCCAATCGTCTGCACACATCTTCGTTCAAGATCCAAGATACAACCAATATAAAAAAGTTCATCATTTATTGTGGTGCCGAGGTAGTTGTAGTGCGGCACTTTTCTACTGGGGTTTGGTTAAAGTAACGACCTTTTGTGGTATTTTTCTTGTTAATTATCATGAGATTTGTCTTTGTTACATTTATATTGAGTCCATATTGTTGACTGTCTTCTAGATTGTCCGCAAATACTACGATGTCATCTAATTATCCCCATACCGTTCCATTTTTCCAACATTTACCTTAATTTTCTTACAGTTTTTTAATACCACATCATCAGCATGAATTAAGCATTAGGGAATGTTAGCGTGTAGTTTATCTGATATGTGATTCAACATTAATGAGAATAAATAAGGACTAAACTGCTTGGAGCCTTGGTGCAATCCTACTTTAACATAAAATTTATCAATCTTTCCCACACCTGTTCTACTTACTATTCCTGTCCATATCTCTCAAAATCGTCACCTATTCACGGAGAAATCCACTTATATAGTGTCTAGTACAGATGCTTTCCCGAAATCTATGAACATTACATGAGCTTTTATTGGATTATTCCTTATTTTCCATCAGCTGCCTTATAAAGATAAATGTATATAAAGCGCTAACAGACCTTTTAGGCCCATTGCTGCA